CCCCGCCTCCTATGCAATGCATTCCTTTGACGACGACGAAGATTACTTATTACACTTTGCCCTGCCCACGTGTATGTCTAGCGTTGTGCGCGCTGACTTGCATAATCCAATCGAAGATTGGTGCACTTGATATGGAATATTTAGAAGCATTTCGCGTGCTGAGATGATGCTTGATCGTGAGTATACACTTTTTATGTTTTTTGATCATTTTGATAAGTTTGATAATTAATAAAAATAGGTTTTAAACTTTCTTGTTCATAGAGACTACTAATATGAATATGTTACTTGATCGAGAAACAACAAAATTTATAATGTAGCCTTTGCTTATTTTTAACATATTATCCATTTAGGCCAGCAGTGGCTTTCATGTATATGCAACAGACATGTGGTGTACGTATGTCAAAGGCACCTTAGTCAATTTACGCCACAGAACCGTCGATTAACCACCTCGTTAACGTCGACCTGGCGCTCCATTAAATATCGAACTTCCAACGATTCTTTTCCATTTTAATGTTTGATTTCTCAAACTTACGTGACTGATAAAATAATCTTCAGAAACAATACCAATTCAACAATTCAACCGCTAGTTCACCAATTTGCTTAAACAAGAAGCTGATAAGAAACGTAAAGTAAATATTAAAACTATTTTTATTTTCATTTTTCCAACATATCTTTCATTTTTACTCAAGTTAACATTTTGGAGGGAATGATGTGAGTTTAGTGTAATAGGTTTATTAAAATTTACAATTAAATCCAGCATGTAGAAAGGGAAATGGAATTAAAAATGATTAGCTTGTTGTGCTTGATGACAGCTTATACTAGATAAAGTGATATATTATTTTAAGCTTTGGTAAATTTGCAAGCTAAAATGGTAAAATTTGGCTGTTTAAGAAGAATGTTGGGTTTCAGTGAGTGCAAATGATAGTAGGAGAGAATAGAAAATCCATGTTATTATTATTTTTTTAAAGATACAGACTTCTCGGAAGACCGCGGATATGTGCATACTAACAAAGATGAAAAAGTAAAGAGTCGAGCGTGAGTACACGTATACGTTTAAATGGGTCTTTTAACCTACTGAGAGTGCTTAGAAAGGCGCGAGTGAACGAGAGACAGAAAGAGAAAGAAATAGAAAGGGGTGAGGAGAACTCGGGGGAATTACTACGTGTAAATACGTGTATGGAAGCTAGTCGTGAGCTTTAATGATGTTAAAAGAAAAACTGGAAAACAGTAAAAATATTAGGGATTTGGGAATAAAAAGAAATGACCATATGGAAAAGGGCTCAGAAAAATAAATAAATAAAAAGAAACGTAATAAACGGAAATTCTATTCTGATGCGTTAATGAAAGGTTTGCAACTTTTTTTTTTTGAAGAATGAAAAATTTTTTTCTTGTAACTTGAATATATATTTTTTTAAGTAAATTTTGTAAATATGAATCGCGTAGAAAATGTATAGTAAAATAAAAATATTGACTTCTTATTGAGCTTTGTCTATATTTTTATTTCGTAGAATTATTTATGTCATCTATTTTATTCGATAAAAATAGTGTCGGAATATAAAAAATTTTTGTTCGTGTCTATGAAAAAATTTTCCTCTATCAAAGAATTACAGTTAAAAGTTTGCGAACAGTTTGCGAATGAATCCGTGAATTACGAAATTGTGGACTAATTTGTTACGATTTTTTCGTAAAGTTCCTACAGCAGCATTGCCATTACGCAAATGTTTCTTTGATATCCTAATTTACATTACTGCTCACAACTTTTTAATTATCTAGTGGCATTTATAGTTTAAGTATTTATATTCTACGAATTTATCGCACTCATAAATTTGTTACGATGAAACTTTTGTTTTAACGCCAAACATAATCAAAAAGAAAAATTAGCAAAAGAACTGAAAACAATACAAAAAAATAATGTTTGCATTTAAAAATCCTTCTTTGCATATGTTTCTTACTAGTTATTTTCATAACTTGATACGACATACGGATTGGCATACCCATAATGAAGCTCGCACTGGGAGTGAGAAGCTACGAGAAGCTTCGCGACGTATGCGATCAATCAGGAAGAGTGTCACATTAGTGTTGACACACATGTCAACATCTTGCTTATATATCTTGTAGATGCATACAGTCTGTAAATCGTTAGTATAAATTGACACAAGTGATTTTTTATGATCAATCCAAAAATCAATTCGGTCAATATCATGAAACATAGTAATGATAAATATTTTACTTCATATTAAAAAGACTTTTAATTTTATAAATACAAGAAGAACTATACTATTATTACGTTTATAAATCAGACGACAACTGGAACTTGGTTTTGAACTGTAATAACAGAGCGGAAAAAGATTTACTGCTATCAAATTTTCTTTATAATATAACGAAAAACAAGATCAAGAAAGGAAAATATTCGGTTTTTCTTCTCTCTCTCTCTCTCTCTCTCTCCCTCTCTCTCGAAATTCTAGTGCTTTATTTTTCTTCAGCAACAATGTATAAGTGCACCACTTGAGTCAGAATGACTGCGCAGAAAAGTGAACCTTTTCACGAAGTAAGTACGTAGATGAAGAAAGTAGTTTCATCTCAGAGTCTCGTCAAAAACATTTTGTGCTCAGGCAACTAAATATAATGTGCGAAGATGTATGAAATGCCTTGGTTTTCTCTTATAAAATTTGACCTATAAAATATAGCAGCGTTGTTATGCGAATGGTGTATTCATATCAGTGGAAAAGAAAGAGCATCGGCGTATTCATTCTTAAGGAAAAATTACTTCGAATAGTAACATTCGAATGAAGATACTCATAATGCGTAGTTATTTGTTAACAATAGTAACTTATATAAAGGAATGCAAGCAATCAGAATCACGAGAATGAATAAAAGAAAACTTTCGTATGTTATCAGAGATCAGAAGGCGAAAGATAAAAAAAATGTGAAAGTAAAAAACAACGATCAAAGAAGCTCTAGCCACAGAAAGAAGCAGGAGAGATAGCGGAGACGAACTGAAGAGCAAAGCTAAGGAGGATAACGGGTAGTCGTGCAGCGAAGATATATCGGAAAAAGTGAGAAGGAAAAAGGCGAACAAAACAAAGAGAAAACTTGCGCGAGATGAATCGAAGAGACTGCAAGAGCGCGCGAACGCGAGGATAAAGGTTTAACGGTGATAAGGAAGCGAAAAAACCCGATAGCACCACCACGAGATATAACCTAGCTCTCGGCATAGGCGGCAACGATGACAAAAAGGATAGAACAGGCGGGGGCAGGTACAGGGAGCCCAGATGCAAAAGGAAAGGATCGGGGAGAAAAGCGTTAGACTGCTTTTGAGTGAACGGTGGAAAATCATCTTTTTAGCAAATTCGTTTGATGTCCGCTCGCTTGTTGGCGTAAATGCTCGCGGCTATTTTTTAGAGGTAGAATTTATTTTTTTCTGCTCGCGCATTTCTCTATGCACGAATGCCGCCTTATGCCTTTATCATCACGCGAATTCTGGCAAATATTCTACAGTACAATTTTATCTCAAAAGCACTTGCTGTCGAAGTTATAAAAGAAAACAAATGCAGAATCTATTGATGCCAATTATTTAGACTTTCATTAAAAATAACTAAAAATTATTATGTGCGGAAACGATATCGCAAATCACATGAGACGTGTGCAATTTTTAATAGAACTTAAATTAAAGTTTCAAAAGTGAAAACATCAGAGTGTCAAATATTAAAATAATTATGTGGAATCCCCATATGTCGCAAAGGAAACAACGAATAACAGCGACAATCACGCAGTACGTGGAGAACGAGTGACGTTGTGGTATTGTCGAGCAGCTATTTTGCGCATGGATTACACTTAAGGAGAAGGGGAAGGAGATGCATATAAGAAAGAGGTCGAGGGAATGCAAAGCAAAGAGAGCCGAGGAATTTTTAAAGAAATTCTCAGGGTAGAAGAGGGGCGGGGGTTCACTACAAGGTAGATAGGAGAAACGCAAGCTAGCAAGCAGACAGGAAACACTTTGCTCGAGGGCCGGGCCTACGTGTAAGCTATATGTATATATGTATATATACACATATATATATATATATACACACAAAAGCTTGTACACGGGCGTTCATCGACTCTGTCTCTCTCTCTCTCTCTCACTCGCGTGAAACACGCCCGCGCTCGCTCGCCCGTCGAGCCTTGCCTCTGATTTACAACACGACGTTGAAGGGGCTGAATTCGTGCGGATGAAATATTGGTTACTTTTGTCTTATTTCGCGATTTGACCTATTTTTTCTTTCTCAAAACTAATTAAAATTCACTCGTAAAATTACGCTTTTTTCGTCACATTGTCGGTGAGAGGAAAGAGATGAACGAATAGTTATTGTATGCCAGCTGCCACATAACACGTTGCCGGCTTAAATTAATTGAATAGGTGAGAGATTTATGAGGCGTATTTATGTGAGTATGTGTGCTAAGACCAAGCGAGTGCTAAGAGATTACCGCTGAAAGTAATTTATGACGATTTCTGTGCTTTCAAGAACATTTCTAACTTATCTTGCTTCCGGAATACGCAAACAAAAAGCATTCCCGTAGATGTAAAAAATATCGGGACATTAAAGGAAAATAAAGCGGCGATTAAAACTTGTTAAGTTATCAAAAAGCCTGAAACTCGCATGGGTGAGAATATACGATGGGGAAATGCGCGAGGTTGCAACAGTTGAAAAGCCTCTTGTCGGTATCCAGAGAGCTATCAATGCTGTTACGCGCACACGAAGTAAACGAGCAGACGGTTTGGCCCCGGTACGCGCGCGTTCGCGGTAATCCCGATATAAACAAAACCGAAGCCTCTGGGTCCGATTTTTCCGCCGCGTTAAAGGCAGGCAAGCAGCGACGCCGAAGCAAAATACAACTGGGAGACGAGGCGCAGGCTCTACTCGGCGCAGGCTCGGCGCGCTGCGGTGAACGGTGGTGGGGAGGGGTGGATGGGGGAGATATTCTGTCTCGCTAGTGCAAGCGTTTCCGGGCCACGGGATAGTAGTGTGCTGCTGCTGTGCCGCAGTCTCGTGTGCAGTCGGTGCTGGCTTTTCGTTCTTCGATGCTACTCTCTACATGTACTCTCTCTGTCTCTGTCTCTGTCTCTCTCTCTCTCGCTCTCTCACACGTTGACTCGCACTACTTGCGGCAGATGTGCGTGTAGTTTGCTATAGGTGCGCGCAAGTGGGAGAGTGTGCAAGTGATGATTGACTAACGTTTTATCTCGCTATTCGCGCGCGTGTGCCGCTGCGCGAACAGTGTTTTCACTTTTTCTGTTGTGTTTTATTAGTGTTCATGTACATATGTCCTTTTACCCGCGATAGTAGTGAGATGTCGTAAGCAAACGTGAGCCGATAGAAAAACGATGGCCTGCCGACTCGGCAGGCTACTACTACTAGTGTTTTTTACGCTGTCCTCTATTGCAGGTTTGTATCGACATACTCTAGTTGCGGTGACTACCCTAAGGCTTTAAGGCACGTTCGGACTTTATGTGTAGATGTAGCGGATAAACTGCCAATTTTCTTAAGTGTCTATTCTACTGCTCATCTCTTTTTTTTTTCTTTCTTTTTTTTCTTTTACTTTTTTTACATTTCTCGAAATTCGTCCGAAAATGAATTACACTCGTTGATTAGAGTGCGTGTGTGTCCTCGACGACTATGTTGAATGCAGTGACAGAGAAAGAGCTTAATAAACGAAACGTGCAGGGAAATTATATCAGAGGCTACGACTCTTTCTCGGTTATGTTATTGCTTTTTTCGGGTTTTCGCTGGACTGCACGGGAAAATAGAATTTTTATTTTATTACTATAAAGTAACCACCCGTCTCATTTGTTTTTACAGATTAGTGGCATCTACAAAGAGTAATAATTAACGTAAATTCAGCGTAGGATGGAAAATGATGTTCATTATTTCGTTTGTCTCCTTCATCATATAGAAATGAATAGAATTTCCCATAGTTTTCTCACTTTTTTTAATTCATACAATTGTGCGACTGACGTTAATATGGATTAGACTATATTGAAATTCTCTTTTTAATTTAAATATAAGATACTAATGCAAGCATGAGCCGCTGGCGGGCGAAAGTATGATTCAAAGATTTTTTTATTTCTGTTCTTCGATCAACTGGTAATAGTTGCTTGCACTCACACCTGTATTCTTTCAAATAAAAGAAGAAAGTGACAATCAAAGCTCTAAGTATCACACGCAGAAAAAGAAAAAACACATCTCACTTGTTGCGAATGATAACCATGATTGCTTTCCCATTTCTTCACGTAAGATAAATTCTTCTCATACTTAATACGCGTTGTCGTTGCTCAGAATATATTTAGGTCAGTCTGCTGTTAAAAGCTTCGTTTTCTTTTGCAGATGAATAATTATAATAGTAAGTAAAAGTTATAAATCACTCTACTCGTTTGGGATAATGTGATTCGTTTCAGTCTATGAAAGCTTATGAAAAATTAATGGAATTTTATTTTGAGATGAAAATATAAGAACCACCTATAGAGTATTTACTTACAAAAGTGCATTTCTCTGCCAAATAAAAGAATCGGAAAATTGATCTCATAAAGCCTTTAGCGTATTCGTATAATAAACATAGAGTACCAACGAAGTTCTTTCTGTTCGGATAGTGGTCATTAAAAATGTACTTGTTATCTTAACAATTGATGAATTCATAAAGTAAGTGTTTGAATTGGGTTAGGTTTTAATAATGCTCTTCATTTTTTAATCTATTATAATGTTAACTCGGTCTTGAGATAATTGGACGAGTGAATTTTTAAGTCTTAAAAAAATTTCTTGTTTTATTGATAGTTTTATTTACTTTATAAACTATATAATTCAGTAATTTATGAAAATAAGTCTTTATCTTTTAAATTAGTTTCATATTTCACGATTATTAATAAACGACAGTTTCACTGATAATAATACTGAGGCCCATTATAAAGCAGTTTAATTATCCGAAAATTGTCCGATGAAGCTATTGTAATATATATTTTTTTTGTACGCGTAATGTGCCATTTTCTAGTGGCTCATATTAATTTTAAACTTCAGGCAGGATAATGAAAGATAAAGAGTAAAGTATTGTTACTAACGATTAAAATAACCTTAATAATTTATTTCGTTTTCAATAATGTATTGCTCTTAATATAGGAATTTTTAATTTTTGCAGTTTCGCAATTTCTTAAAATGTTTGAAAATTATATCTTACATACGTAAGTATTTCGATTGATAGTGAAATAATTTTTATATGATAAATTGGCAAATTATTAGAAATAATGTAATATATGTAGTAAAAACATGATACACTCGATGCAATCATTATAATTATTAAGGGTGGATCTGATAGAAAAATTATTTACACGCAATAAGCTACAGATTCGTCAATACCAAGTGAATTGAAACAATGAATGCGTGAGCGTTTCGTCCCATGTCTTCTCATCAGACTCGTCAGCATAGTTATGATGAGCAAACACTGACACGTGAGCGAAAAACCGTGTAAGTTAACCGTATTAATTACATTTTCACAACATCTGATAATTTGCAGTACCGACGATGTCCGCCCCGGCACTGTAAGTCTGCGTGTCAATCCTCGATCGCTCACTTCCGTCAGTTCCGTATGAATGCGGGTCCGGTTCTTTCTTACCCTTTACTGGCGCATTCAAGGTTCTGTCCTCGCCAATACACCGCGTGCGAATGTTTGACGTTCAAATGGCTGTCGCTAACAGTAATCGAATGATTGAATATATGAAATTCAATAATAGACGATGCCTAGTCCCCGTAGACTTTTATAATTTTTTTTATAGACTTATTTTTTAACCATCGTTGAACGTATCAATAGATTGAATGAAACGGCAGATTAATGGTAATTAACAGCCGAGAATTATCCAAGAAAGTAGATTTGCAGTTCTCAGCAGCCAAACATGTTTACATGTTTTAACGTTTCGTCGTTTCATCAGCCAATAAAGTTTTACGCAATTGTTGGTCGAAAAGATTTGTCAATTAGAGCAAAAAGAACAAACTCGAAAAGCGTGCGTGTGTTTAATGCTTTGAAAGCAGAGAATCAATAAAAAGGGACTTGAAGCAAATAATGGTTAAGCACTCAATGCCTAGTCGGTCTGAAGTTTTCGCAAGCGAGCCGAACGATTGCGTTTCCATTCTCATCGGGAAAATCTCCGAATGGTATTTTCGCACGCGTAAAAGGGCCCCGTAAATTCAGGGAGCAAACTAATTTGGAAAGTTTTTGCCCGTTTAATCGCCATTAATGGCCAATTAAGCATTGGACTTCGCTTGCTCTCACTTCCCTCGCCAACTATTCCGCTCGATATTTATCCGGCCACGAACAAGTAGTTCTCTCCCCACAACGTTCGCGTTGTTTGTGTTTCGCCGATTGTTTCCGGCCAAATTGCCAAACACCTCATGGCTACACACACACACACACACCACTGTGACCTGGCTTATATATATTGCTATTGCACTGGCAAATTTCCATCATCAGAATGCATTCGCTACTCAAATTTATGCTTGTCATGTGTTATGTTTACGGGTAATATATTAAATGGAGTACTACTCCCGTACTGTTAACGACAAATTAACTGTTCTACTAATTGAAGACTCGAGACTGCCTCTGCTGTGATCTCAAGACAGAGACACTGATATTTCACGAGCTGTTCATCAGATTCTCAACTACCAAGAATTGTGGTCCTGCGAGTATTAATTACAATTAGATAACTAACGCTCAAATGTTTGCATACTTAACTTGATTATCTATATTTTTTGGCATCGATCACTGCTCTGGTTAATTATCTTTTTTTTACAAAACATAACTCAATGAATGTATATGATCTTAGGATGAATCTTGTAATTGTATATGTTTTAAGTCAGGCGTCAAAATTTTACGCTTCAGCTTTCTTTTGGATTATAAAACTGGAAAATTTTAAAAAGAAATACGTTATATTAAAAATTCGCGTTGAAGGCCAATGTAAAATATAGGAACAAATATTTTTAGCGATTCGACAATGTTATTCTTTTCGATTCGCGTGATAACAGTGTTACAATATTGAGAATGAAATAATGTTTGTATACTTTTTTCAAAAATAAAAATGGTTTTATTGGCATGGGCAAATACCTGTTATATCCTTACACATTTTTAGAAAACGCTTCAATAAATTCGAAGGCACACGAATATGCTGCGTTTGCATACAGTTCACTGGAACTTTACAGGCGTCCGATTTGATAGGACGAGTAGGATGTCTTGTGTATACCAGAGAATTGAGATAAGACTTTGAAATCTCGAATGGCTTAAGAATATTTAGTCCCGAATGCGGACAGCTGATGCTCTTTCGGTCTGTCTGTCTGTCTGTCTCTCTCTCTCCCTCTCGTGTATATCTTTTTCGTCACAGTAGCCTTGCTATACATATACAAGCTTCGAAGTCTTGCCGTACACCTTTGGCTTTCTCTCTCTCTCTCTCTCTCTTTCTCTCTCTCCGTCTCTCTTACTATGAGATACAGTAAATCTTCTCTTGCTTTTGTCTCCATCGCCATTTCTCTTCTTTTTCCCTTTTTTGAGTTACTCTTATCTCTTCCGTAGCAAATTACAGCCAATGCTTTTCTCCTGCTTTATTTTTCTATGTATATATATACACAGATATTTTTCTCCTTCATTTTTCTTTCATCTACGACAGAGAAAGAGAGACGATGTAGTATGCCCTGACAGACCATTTACAGTGTAAAGAAGCTTAATTTTTAACGATGAAGCTCTTAACGTGGCTCCGTCTTATTGGCTTATAGAGCACTCGATCCGAGTTAACGATATTTACTCTTTGATGCATGGTGTTGCTCGTAGTTACCATCATTTGCATAATTATCTGCTCAGACGAGTTTACTTTTTTAATTCATGATCGCTGTATGTTCGTTGAGAACGATAATGAACTCTTTGATTAATTTCCCTGCTATTCTACAAACGAGCTATAACTAATTATTGTAATTTAGTCAAAGAAGATTTTTTGCTTTTAGACTATTTTTCATCCATCCCTTTTATCTTTTTTTTTTTTTTTTGTTAAGTTATTCTTTACTCTCGCTTAGTAAGTTACTGTAACTGATTCGTTTTTGCTTTATTTTTATAGAAAAGAAGACTTTATCTAATTATGCACTAAAATCAACCGAAGTCGTATTTGATATTTTGTGTAGAAAAATAGTTAATACCATGAATAATAATTATGTTATATTCAAAGACTTAGAGTGACATTTTTCTGTTATAATTCATTTATGACTACTGTAATTCGAAAAAAATATATTAAAAGAAAATGATGTAATCCTGAAAATTATTTTTAAACTAATATCACTATGAGTAAAAGCAAAGTTTGGAGCTATAGGAAAACTTGATTGTTACCTTTTAGTTAAAATTAAAGGTTATCCTCGTAGATATATCTTTCACAGTATCACCTTCAATTGATAGTATGTTTGAGAATTTATGTCTATTCAATATTTAATCTATTTATTTACTCCATTTAATAATTACCATGACTACAGTAACTCTTAGAAAAGTTTTATATTCATTAACATTATGCTTTCCGACTTTTTGATGACAATCAAAAAATAATGCAAAGTTAACTGTAATTATTTATTTTTATAGATAATAATCAAGTCAAAAACAAGACTAACAACTCGTAAATACACCTTTAATAAAAATATATTAGCAGCGTACAGCGTCTATTTATTTAATACCTCACTATACATCGTATTTATACATAGTGCATGAGTTCTATGAATGCTTGCGTTCTAGTTTTCAAAGAATCAGAAAAACATGTGAATAATCAAGAAATATGCTTTTTTTTATATTTTTGCAATCAATTTTTTAAACAACTGCTCCGCGCTGACAAATCTTTATTTCACTGAATTAAAACATTGTCTCCAAGAAAGAAGATGCCATTAACTTCGCCCATGAAACCTTTAGACTCGTTATAAAAATAGTGATCGCGTTTGATTGGAAGTAGATAGAGAAAGAGATCGTGAGAAGCCATTCGAAGTAAGTTTTTGCTTGTGTTCGCAGGTATCGAGGCTCTACGTATGACTGCTCTGAAGATCCCGAGGCACGTAGTGCAGAATCAAACGATTCGTATGGAGTGCAATTTCAACCTGGACCGAGAAACTCTTTACTCGGTTAAGTGGTATAAGGATGGACACGAATTCTATCGCTACGTGCCTAAAGAACATCCGTCCGTATATGTTTTTGCTTTACCAGGCGTCAACGTCGATGTAAGTGTGCTTTCTATGTCAGCTTAATTATTTTCTCTACTTTGGGCATTACTTTTCCATTTATAGCGTATTTATAAATTTTATTATATCGAAAAATTCATTAGCTCGAACGATTTTAATCTCTCAGCTTATTACACACAAATGAAAATATATATTTTATTTATTTTCGTGTGGTTTAAACAAGTTGAACATTGCTATAAAAATTCTTCTATAAATATCTTGAGTTCGTTAATAATGGTAATAGATTTAGTTTCTTGCAAAAATTTGAATTTCTGTACAATTCACTTAATTATTTGGCCATTTAAGATTTCTTCTAGAGTATTTGCTTTGAACATATTAATAAATATATTTTCAATAAATAAAATGCGTTGCTCACTAGTTGCATGATTGTAACTTCAAATGCGTTTTCTGTTTTCAATTAACCCTCTGTTATCTAAAAATTTGTTGTTCAACTTTTTTAATGGAAAGAGTATCTTCCGAAAAACGAGCGAAAAATTGTCTACTAAAATTTGAGATCCCATTTTGGTCTTTCCATTTCCTTTGACTAACGCCGTTTAATATTTATGTGACTTCTATAGCTGAATATTTTTTGACTATGTCTTATGATATTATCGATTTTTAGACTCGTAATTTACATGCCGACATGCATGTAGTAAGCTTTCATCTACTTACTGAAGCACTTTTTATAGAATTTCTGCTCTTGAATAAAAAAATTATTATTATTATTTAAACTCAAAGTAAGCTATTTCCGCTGACGAAAAAAATTTAACATTTTAAAAATATATATGACTACATTTTTAAAACGATTTATGTTATCTCGGCTTTATCAAAAATTTAATAATGTAGGAAAATGAATAATGTATTGGATCAAAGTTTGTGAGGGGAACATGGTAATAATCTTACAAAAGCTTTGATCGTAAAATTATACAGTTAAAATATAATTGTCATAAGATTAAAAAGTTTTATGTCAACTGTTCTGAAAATTGTTCCGTAATTCATCTAAACTTTCGTATACATTGTTCAATTCTCAATATTGCATTTCGTCATATAGCTGATGAAGCTTTACAAGAGAGTTCCATTGATTGTACTTTAATAAATGTAAACATTTTTGTTTAAATCATATCTAAAAAATGATATTTTATATTTTCTGTAGTAAAATACCATGGATAATAACGTCGTTATATTCAAAGATGCAGAATGAAATTTTTCTGTTATAATTTATTTTAGACTACTGCTCAAAGGAAAAATGTTAAAAGAAAGTGATGTAATCCCGAAAATCATTTTTAACCTAATATCTCTATGAGTAAAAGCAAAGTTTGGAGTTGTAGGAAAACTTCATTGTTACCTTTTGGTTAAAATTAAATATCCAGGAACTGTGCGAGCTAACAGCAGGCGTTGTGGAAATTGCGAGGAAAGCTTAGTCATGTTTGGGGCTAGAGACGAAACAAACGCTTTCATACTGTTGAATTGAGCATCCCGCGTTCCATAAAAAGTTCGCAAACGAGTTTTATGGTATGCTCTAGTGGTAGTTGGTTTGTTGTGGCTAAAATCTAAACTTTGTTATATCCAGTGTTACCCTAAAAATCTAAAGTATACATATATAGAGTATGCATATAAAGTATAAAGTACAATCTTTTTTCTTAATTATTGATCATGCTTAACATTATCCTTAATAGTCATACAAGTTAGAAAATATCAATTATTCTAACAACAGTAGAGCTTAAATAAATAAAAGTTATATAAAACAATAAAAGTTACATTTGAATATTTTTTCTTTCCTTATAAAATACTTCAGTTTTCGTCGTTTGTGAACAGTGCTCTGAATATATGTGTGAAGCAGCCGTCAATTATAATATGCACGTATATTGTTAGAAATACCGTAATTTTCTCTAAAATGAAAAGACAGTACAGTTTAAACCGATAATAGAAAAAGTTAAGTGAAAGAGCATGCAAGCAAGCGAGAAAATGAGAACAAGAGAGAGAGAGAGAGAGAGAGAGAGAGAGGACCGGGCGAGGAGGACGTGATTCGGCCATAAATTTGGGCCGCAAACTCTCGTAGGAGCCTTAAACGTGCAGTGAAAATAGAATGACTCGCTTCCATCCGTGCGAGCGCGAGGCTATGCAGTCGCGTAACATCGGCGAGGGGGAAATCACGAAAAAGAGAGTCCTTTGTTCTCGCAACGGGACACAACCACTATGGAGTTTGCTTCTCTTCCTCTCTAGTCGTATAATTTTCCCTCTCGCCTCTTTATCTATACACGTGGGCGTTTTGTCGCGTGCAGATAAGGTGCGCAGAGAGTAAACTCTCAACCGCCCCGTAACGTTCCACATATTTATCGGAGAACTGTATAAGTGCCGACCCTGCGATTATGAACGACCGACTATTTTTGCTCGCATGATCTTCGTCCTCGCTCCCAACCTGTGCCTTTGTCTCGATTGTTCTTCTTGCGAATATGTACACAATCCACACGCGCTTGATATATTTAAAGGGTTAGAGAGGAAGGTCGAGAGTAAAACTTTTCACTGAATTCCTATCCACATGCTTGTAACGCTCACCCGACTTTTTGTCGAGTCTTCCGCTTGTATGGTTAACGGTTGATTGCAGTTTCTTGTCCTGAAGTAGATGTTTAATTATAGTGAAAAGAAGTTTTTTTTCTGAAAGTCTAATAAGTTGGACTATTATGAATAACGATGTGATTTCAATATTCTAATAAAATTTCTCGATAAAAATATTTATTTTTCAGAAAGCAAGCTCAACCGAAAGATCCGTAGTACTAAACCGCGTCAATCACAATAGTACTGGTCGATACAGATGTGAAGTATCAGCTGAAGCGCCCTTCTTTCACACAGTTTCCAATCACGCCGATATGGGTGTCGTTGGTAAGTGCATACACGTATACACTACTACTTTCATCGTACGTACTTCTGTTGCTTTCAACTTCATTATCCGATTACCTAATCCACGTCCAATTTCTTCTTATCTGCTCTTCGCGCGCGCACGTTCAAACAAGCCGCTAATGAAAGTGCATAATTACTGCGCGCGAGAACGAGACTTGCACATTGCAAGCTGGAGGCTCAATTTCTTTTGCTGGCGGCTTTCAAAATACCTATTTGCTTGTTTATTCGCGCACTCTTTGCGTGAATTTGAGTCCATGCAAAACAAACTTGCAAGCCTTATTATTTTCCTGAAACTAATTATTTACTTGAAAAATAAATGATTAGTTTGATGAGTATTTCATGTTATCAAATAATTCTACGAAGTAACCATTATGAACTTTTCGAATCAATAAATAAACCTTAACATTGCTACCACATTTTAACTGCCATCATCAGTCATCTCCAGTGACCTTTATTAAACTGAAGTAAATAGAAATCTCTGAAGATGATTGACGATGACAGTTGAAGAAACTTTGAGTTTTATTTATTAGTTCGTATAAAGTTCGTATCTATTACGTATTGGAAGATGTAACTTTGTTAATAAGATTGAATATACAAAGGTACAGTATATGTATCACTAGGTCATCACCGTGCAAGTGTAAGTGTCATGCTTGTAGACTTATCTTGTATCTATACGTAGAACCTATAATTGAAAAAAGCAAGTCCTATGATTTTGCGACTACAAGCATATTGTCATACACAAAAGGACGAGCTTGTATGATTTAGCATGCGATAGCGAGTTCAAGAATACACACGTAAGTTGTATTATATATCGTAATCTTTTCATGCACAAGCTTGCGAGATCTTTTAGTATACGAGATCACTTTACTTTTTCTGCGAAAGGTAGTAAAAATTTATGTGAGTATATAACTGGAGTATCTACTCATGTCTGTGAGGATTATTTGAAATTGAAAATTGAAAATATTTCGTTGCAAATTACATCGTTACGTAATTATATTACTTGAAAAACATGTTTTTTCGTATTGATTTATTGTATAGATAATACTCACTTAAGCTTATTATTTTTTTATTTAAACATATTAGTTTATCGGATAGTATTTTTAATTTTATTATAAGCATTCATCATAGCTCATTTTCCATGCGTGAAAAAATAAAGGATGTTCTTTATTAGTCGTCATTGTCAAGAATAAACGATAATAGAATTTGTTGATACGATGTATATATGCAATTTGTATAACTGCCTATGCAGATGAGACAGCTATTTATATGTAATTAGTAATTCACTTTGTTATGAACATGTATATTAATTCTAATTCTTCAATATATCTATACTGGTTTTAAAGACATTTTGAGGTAGTTTCTTCTAACAAATAAAAACAAGTGACGTAAAACATCTTCATTTCAAGAAAAGCGAACTCGATAACTTAAGATTAAAGTCTTGCATAAGACAACTAGAGTAAGCTATAACAATTCACTTCAAGAAACTTGCAATTTCTGGTTGGTTTTCAATTTAAAGTTTTAGTTATCTTAAACTACGAAAATCAAATCTACTTCATTGGTCTGTTCAGATGTTATGTTATTATTGTATAAAGATATCAAACATTATAGCTCCGCAATCGAAACTGATGTATATTATTTATGAGTATATTTAAAATATATATTGTATTTTATACATTTTCTTCACATTTATTATTTCATTTTCCAGTACTACCGGAACGAGGACCTACAATTAGTGGAGTCAAGTCGAAATATCACGTAGGTGATACAGTTCGCGCGAACTGTACATCCGCTCCGTCGAAACCGCCTGCTCAACTGATGTGGTATGTCAACGAAGAAACGGTGAGTCATTAATTCCTATACCTTCTACAAATACACCATCCCGTTATTTATTTTTCGGTAAGCTCTATTTTTCATTATTTTTTTTCAACTTTTTTCATCAGTTATTTAGATGGTTTCCTCTTTGTCGCGCACTTGCACGCGAGAAAAATTCGATAAATGCAAACGATTTGCATCATTTTTCAACGTTCGACGCTTTTGCGTCGTTAGCCGCGTGGCGGCGCAGCAAAGCATCGCGCTTCGATTATTCATCATTGCCATTAATTATATCGTGGAGCACGAGAGAGAAGGGAGAGTGGAATTTGCTCGCGCTTGCGCTGTTGATCATCGCCAGCAAGCCATGATTTATATCCAACGTTGCAAACACGCGCGCGAGTGGAGGTGGATTTAAGTTCGTCGCTAATTGATTTAATCCGGCAAGCACGGAGTTCTATATATATATATATATATATATATATATATATATATATATATATATACATCCAAGTGATAGCGTAACTGAGAAGAGGACGCTGAAAGGACTTCGTTTTTACAAGAGCATACTGTCTATAGCACTATAGAATTGTAAAAGATTTACTTGATTACTTTTTTTACTTTTAATTTATTTGCAAGTGATTTTTATCAATTTCATTATCTGTTTGACTTTTTATTTGACATTCCGCGTCACTTATGATTTTACTGGATGCCAAGTCAATAACGTTGATGGCACGAAATTTCAAATTAATTATCAACGTATATATTCAATATAATTAATTTTGGAGAGGTAGATTATAACATCTATTTGACTGTTGTTGCGTTGCATGACAACTCACACTTCTTTATTTTCATATCGATTGTTTTGATAAAATAAACTGTTATTCTCGTATCTACTGTATCAAGTGATCATATAACATTATCAGATAACGTAGCTTCAAGTTAGAATCTATTTTCATCAACGGTATAAGATTTGCAACTTGTAATTTATTTTCAATTATTATTTTTATCGATTTTTACTAAAACGAATTGGCCTATAAAATATTATGAGTAAGAAAAAGTTTCATTTTCATCGTATGCGTTATAACTTGGCTCATTGATATACTTTACTACTTCATCCTGCAATAAAATTTGATAGTCGTATGAAACATAAAATCTGACTTTAATTCAAATCATCACAATTCCAGGACTGATTTTTCAGTAAGATTAGACGACCGCAACGGTAAACCAAGAGAGAAAAACTGAGAGAGAGAGAGAGAGAGAGAGAGATCTGGCCATTGGCACGCGCGAGAAAATAGAAGCGGTGGTGGGTCGAAGAACGTATCTGAAAATTAATGTCCGAGACCGGTGTAACATTAGAATCCATCGATTAATCCGCCGAGCACGTTTCGCTCGTGCGACGCCTCTATCACCTGCGCTCTATTTCTCAAAGAGAGAGCTTTTTGCTCGGAGCAAGCTCCAACCAGCTGCCTCCTTATCCACGTCCATTACTGCCAGAGAAATGTGGAACGGGGTCAAGCATGGAATATAGAAACGGGCTCTGGGAAATTCTCCGAGGAATTGAGTGATTTTGATTAGCTTTGCTGCACACGCTGCGCTCTCTGTTTAAAAATTGCGAGATTCTATCGCAACCGTGTTGCAGCGTCGAATTGTTGAATAGTTGCGAATTCCGAGAATACCGTTGTATTTTTCATTCGTACGCTATACGAGGCAGAACTGTTTGGCTTCAGAGCAAATATTTATATGGCCGATTAAAATAGCTATAAGTTTATTGCGTTAATTGCTTTTGATTAGAATTCAAAGAATGCGAAATAATTTTTAATTTTTTTTATTGATTTGATTTATCTTTGTGCTTTTTAATTAAATTCATTGTTGTTCGAAACTATTGAATGAATATTTTTATGAATGAATTGTGCTGCGATATACTTACAGTATCGTTTAAATTACCCCTGCACTTAATGAATGGAAAATAATTTTCAATATTAATATCACCTTTTATCGAAATTAATCCAATATTATGAATTACGGTGTACAAAGTTATAAATTATTAATTACCTTTTCTCTCTTCTAAGGTATGCAAGTTCAACATGCTAATACTTCTTAGTAGGTCATGCGAATTCATTACCAAAAAGTTTATCTCAGTCGGTTGTAGATAAGCTCCAATCGTTAGAGATTCTAATTTAATGATTCGCGTTTCAACTAAGGAGAGGACATTTGTTCTCACTTTAGTGAAAAATGGTGATTTAACTGATGGTGAAATGGAGTCGTAATTGATTATAATGATGCACTGCACTATGTGTGAGTTTCTCTAGGGTATTGCTTAGAAAGTGAAAAGCTATATGCTTCTTTTTATAGAGAAGAAATTAAGTAACAGTTCTCCGCATTTTCGATACGACAAAAAAGAGCCGTGGAAAGGGCGTGAAAGGGCATGGAAGATAGACACAATGCATCAAAATATAAAAGGCTGCAGAACGTGCTCGCGAGCTACATCGAGGTTAAACTAGTTAACCCCATCCAGGACATAATAAAGCAACTAAATCTCTCTCCTGCTCTCTTCACGACCCTCCCGTTTGTCTCTCTTTCTCGCTTTTTCACGCCACCGAGAGGATTTTAAAAAGTCATTCCGTTTATCTTTTCCCAACGATCGTGGCCTACCTTTTCGCATGAGCTTGTACACGTGGTGCACTACCAGCTCGTATGTGTGCGGATATGTCTCTGTCCCCGTTACGCTCTCTGCCCTGAATTACAATTGAGCTTTTCCGTCCTTAATTTAAATTTAAAGATGTGCTGCTGATTATTTAGTGCGATCGCAGAAGATTTGTAAAACGTTTTTATGTGTTATTGTAAATGATTCAGGAGACAATTTTCATACAAAATTTTGTAGTGGAACTTATTCAATGTCAGCCTAACTTACATCCGTATTGTTAGCATAAATATTTTATTCAAGGGAAAGTCACTCTGACGTTTTAGTACTTTTATATGGGAAAATCAATGACGTTTGAGTTGAACTATCACCAAAATCGGCAATGATTTTTAATGTACATCTTCTATTAAAAGTAAAGCAACGTATATGATGAATCGAAATAGTTGTACTCTTGTGTGAAATGAGAATTTTATTTGGCATTTGAGCAGAAAAAGCGACAAAAATACTAATGCATAAAAAGGTATAAAAAGCAAACTAGACGTGTGTGTTATGGAACTAGACGACCGGGCGTTACGACAAGAGCTTTAATTCCGCAGATGAGATTTGCTCTATGGACTTTGCTGTTCTACGGTGAAACTCCGATATAGAACGGTTGAATGGAATTTTCCGATAGAATCGCTGTGCTAGCTACCAACCTACGTTACTTCTCTCGTTCACTTTCTTTCTCTCTTTTCTGTTCCGATATAGACAATAGAAACGTGAGAAAGGTTTCTAGAGGTATATTGCTTTATTGTCGCATTTTGTCCGAGTGTCATATTTGTTCGTATATTTGTTAATGAGTCCGAGCAAAAAACATCTACTATCTATGTTGATGATAATTTAACAAGAAAACAAGTTGTGTAAAAACGGGATTATATTTTTATGAGAAGACGGAACAATTTATTTAGAAAATTAAGGATTGGAGTAAAATTTTCTCTGAATAAAATAACTATAACTGAACAAATTAAGTGTATTCTCATGTGTTTAAAAATAGTATCGTCATTTGATTTGCAGGTGGAAGCCAAATATCTACACGGACCGCGCAAGCTGAGTGTAGATTCCAACAATTTGGTGACTATACAGCTGAGCCTAGAGTTTCAAGCGCGATCTAGGCATTTTCGTGACGGGGACATGAGGCTCAAGTGTCTAGCAACGATTTCAGCGTTGTACCAGAGCAGCGACGAACACCGAGTCCTCGGGGACGAGCGTTTCCTCAAGCAGCCGATGGAAAGCCGCGAAACTCGAGCGCAAAGCCACACAAGAAACGAGCTTTCTCGAGGTAGGCTGCTGCATCTTCTTTCTTTCCCTTTCGCCTGTGTATGTGTGTAACCTCGACGGATGTGGGGAAAAGAAAATGTTGCTTCTCTTTTTTTCGTGCTGCACGCGCTTTTGTTCTCTCTCGCTCTCGCTCTCGTGGCAGGAGCTTTTTCTTCACCAGGCGAAAATCTTGTTGGCCTTGTTATGTGCTTTTTGCTTGGCTGGAAAGAGAAATGGTGCCCCGTTGTCCCAATCCAATCTCCGTCGCTCGTACGCCTGTGAAACGTTGACGATGTAAATTTTGTTTCGGATTAATTTTTGGGCTTTGTTCGCTTTTACGTCTCCTCTTCAACTATCTCGTTTTTCCTGCCTTTGGACAAGTTTGAAAGAGGAAGTGTGCTAATAGGCTACTTTCCCATTTCATGCATGCTTTGAAGTTTCGAAGATTAACTCTAATCTCTAGCACTACAACGAATGAACATTTTTTCAGAATTCAAAGTGAAAAGATATTGCATTAAATTAATTGTTCCTACGTTTTCGTTAGAATTCGTAATATCATTAGATTTTTTCCGTCAATATTTATGAATCTGCTAATATTCTTGTTCACTTTACAAGGTTATAAAGTTTCATAATATCCGAAAAAAAGTTTTATTTCACGATCAACCTGACGTAAAAATTTTTAGTTGAAAAAGTTTGTAAAATATACTTTTAGAGCACTTCTTAAGACTCCCATTCGTAGTTGAGTTTTGCTCTCAACTATGCAAATCAAGTTATGAATTAATCAACTTCATCTCCGTTACTAGAATTCGTTTTCTTTGCATATAGGATTTGCTTCTTACACCTTTTATAGTTGTTTCATAATTTCTGCGCGGGATTCAAGAGATCGTTACAATTATAAACGCGGAAAAGTTTAATTTGCAAAAAAAAAAAATATTAAAACGCTTAGTCCTATCGCGCTAGCAAGGACTGTATTTGTTTTGGTCTATTCAAAATTCACGTAGACGAATAGTGTAGTCTAATAATTCCTCTAAAAAAGGCGTAATATATTTTATAATCCCAAGCAATCCCCGCGGTAATAAAAGCGGCAGGGGAGAAGGAATCCCTTGCGTAAATTAAAACTACAATTCAACATCTTTTTTAAACAGTGATATATGTACAAAGCTTGGCTTCTGTACATATTTTATCGGGGAATTCAACCATTTCACAAAATATTTGCATACAAATGCCCGAGACGTTACGCGCGCGGTACGAAAAATCCTATGAAAGCACAGCTGAAAAATACAATAAAATGTGCGTGAGCTGAAAACCCAGAGATATCTCCAATGTATTTTCACGATACGCTATTTCGAGAGATTGAGTGACGCACTTTTGTTTTGCTTCTTTCAATTCTGATACATTTTTGTTTACGTTACTAAAATTGTTATCATCTTTTAAAATAGTGTTTGCGTAACATTATTTTGCCAATATTGTACAGAATTGTAAGTATAAATGACAAGTTATTTAAAAAAAAATAGAGTGCATTTATCTATTATTTTTAGTATTCTTTTATTTCGATCGCTTGAATTTTTTTCATCATAGACTTTTCCATTTGTTTTTGTATATATTTTTATATATATCTCTTATGCTATTCCTTTCGCCACTTTATTATTCGTCATAAATGTACAATAAAGACTATGACCGATATTGAATTCACACATCGTATGCATATATCAGTAGAATAATTTCAATTTGGGTCGACAACGCATCTAAAAAATTTATTTATATAAATTTAAAGTATGTCTTATAGGTATTTTTCAATTTCGTTGATGCTTAAAATATCCATCTGTTTTATTTAATATTGAATATATAACTTATCGAATAATCGAAACTTATCGTGTCCTAAATTCTTTATATTCTAATAATCTTCAATTTTTACTTCCTTTCTTTTTTAGTACATAGTAAAATTAATATATTTTTCGATACATACTTACTACACCGCATAGTGTTTATTTTTTTCTTTTTTCGTTTTTGCTCATTGTTTCAGGAATCCAGGCACGTTCAGCGACGTCGGCGACGATTTTAAGTACTTTGTCGATATTTGCCGTCAGCCACTTAAGGCGATAATACTAGGAGAGTAAAGTAGATGAAGAAGAACCAAAGTGAACGCGTGAACGTCGTCAGCAGCAGTGTGTATGTACTCTACATGGATGATTAGGACGTAGCACTTGCGTATAAATAAGACGAGGTGTACGTATATATGGCTACTAGCGCAGAATATAAAGTGAGGATTCGACGAGATCTTGCGCTTTCTGCTGCTACTGCTTCTGTTCTTCCACGTTCGTTTTGACGCTCACGTCTATTTTCTCGCTAGAGACTTTTGATTATTTCTCTCTCTCTCTCTCTCTCTCTCTCTCTTTTCTCTTTCTCTAGTTGCTCAAGTTTGACGTTCTACAACAAGCGAATGTTCTTTTCTTACTCGTCGACTAAGGATAAAAAGAAAGGTATGATGCTGTCCTCGCACTGTATATCTATTTTGCTCGTGAGTGTGAGCAAAAAATTTTTATCCTGCTGGCGGGATGAGTTCAAATTATACATTCACATTTTTATTATTTTTACTTTTTTTTTATCCTGTAAATCGTTCAATATTCCTATCAAATATTCTCTCTTTTAATGTACATATTAAAAACTACTGCATATCTATCATATTCAAGTGTTCTACTTTTTTACTGGCATGAATCTCTTGACATATTAATAGTAAAGAATATTCTTAAATATAGCCAATTAAATAATCGGTTGAAGATAAGTTTACTCGCTGATTCGCTTACTTTTAGTTCATAGTTACGCACTCACTTGAAAAATATTTCGGAGAAACCGTACGAAAAGTCATAGTCGAGATGAAGTGCACATTGTCGAGAGCAGCAAAATTAATACCTAATCTTTTCTTCCTACTATTCGAAATTCAATAGCTTTCATTGGATAAACGCATTTCGCCTAAACTATCGTATGTTCATATATCATTTTAAGTCATCACGAAAACTTTCAGTAATCACTTGCTCAGAAATAACGTGATAAGTCCTCGCTTTGTACAGCTCATGTAATTTTATTATTATTTCCTGAAAATAAATTAGAAAAGTTTAAGAATACAACTTAATTTTTACATCACTCTTTAATCTAGATATTATTTCAGAAATAAATATATTTAAAAAAAAAGTGAATTTTTTATATGAAAACGGTGATACAAAAAAATATACTTTCATTATTTTTCCAAATTAATCATACCGATAAAATATTAGCAACAGTGAATATCAAACGAAAACTCAGCAAGTAATATTTTACAAGAATCTGAGACAGTCAAGCACTAATCATTGTATCTTATCGCACTTGAGTCTACAAGTGGAAGCTTTCTCGAATATCTCATTCCATGTAGCTACATTTTTACCTGTGTTTAGGCTTCTACTTAACCAAAAATACAACATTTATATCAATATAAGCCAAATTCCCATGAAAACGCGATGCATGCATATGACTAAAGAGATTCTAGAATATTTTATGTCGAAGGAATTAAATGTGTACTTGTCAATTTCATAAATATAAAGCTCAATTCAAAAGTTTTTCTTTTTTAGACAATTGAATTGCCTCCGAATTGGCTTATCGAATTGAATCATCACCACATTCTACTACTAACAATTTTTGAGTCGGTATTTTTCATGCATAGTCATGAAGTCAAGAACTATCAACTCATATAAATTAAATACACAGCGTGAAAAAAAAAATTCACGTGATTTTTGAGCATATTTCAATGTTGTTGACATAAAAAAATTGCTAAGTTATTCAGTTCTTCAGTTCTATGATCTGCGTCATATTATGACGTCCAAAAGTTTTTGATGTAAGTTAATTTATCCATAATCAATTTAACAAGTCGATTCATTAATGTGTAGACAGAATCAGTATTAAACAAAGTGTTCATTAACTTTTCATTCTAAATAATTATCGCAGCAATTTTTGTTATTTATTTTTTTATAGAAACAAGTTATTATAAAATGCATCAAACAAATATTAAATGCTGTTCGTTTATATATCTATTACAGCTTTTGCTAGCATTCCTTTTTACCATTTGTCATTTAATTTTAACTTAATTTATTACTGTGATATGACAGAAGACTGTTACTTTCCAACCGCATATTGGTTTGTAGAAAGTATGGCTTCAACTAAAAGTATTTCAAAATTAATTACTGTAAAGTTTTCAATATTCTACTGAAATACCTATATTGCTTTAAAGTATATTATTGTGTGACATTTATGTTTATGCAAGTGGTCGGAATAAGTGGTTAACAACGATATTAATCGTCATTGAATCAAATACCTTGCCGAGTGAACTAGCACATATGTGTAATGTAAAATAAAAAGAGAACATTATTTTAAATATTTAGTTAGCAAACTCGCCCGCGATACCAATCACTGGATGACACTACAGAGCTATGCTAACTAAATGAGTCGAAGGATGGATCAGGAAGAATACTTTATCACAATTGCTTGTCGCTCATAACCAAGCTTGGGTTGGCGCTTTTGTGAGATATTCCAAAATTTAGAAGGCAATATATACTAAACGTCAAAACATAAAAATTGGCGAAAGAAAATAAGCAATAGTCCTTCCAACGTAACGTTAATTTCAACAGTGTCCAAGAGAGAAAGAAAGAGAAAGAGAGAGAGAGGGGGGAAGAGATAGAGAGATGAACAAGTATAAGGCCGGAACATAAATAGAATTGATAAATAAAAAACGCTGATAACACAAATACACATATTCTAAGCACTAATAATATGCAGATACAATCAATGGTTCTTAGCGAAAATCAATTCTCAAAACGAAAAATGACAGTCACATATTCCCGTTGAAATAACATCGTATACGACAATATTTAGGACATTTATGAATGTTTAGAGAACGTAGAAACAAAAAACCCAAATTTTTACGTTATATCATATACGCGTCTGCATGTAGCTGCATCTCAAATATTGAGTGGACGATGTGACTGTTCGACTTCACTTCAGATTAGCTGACAGAGGGAGTCCGATTACCCGTAAATACGATAGATTTTCATGTAATACTAACTTAAGCCTTGATTTAAATAAAGGGACTTTATTATATAGAGACTGCTTTCTGGAATACCTCTCGAAAGCATAATACCCAATCCCCAGCTCGGTGACGAGCGACGGCGACCGCGGTGAAGTCTTCTTCATCGATCCATCCTTCGACTCATTTGATTAGCATAGCTCTGAAGTATCGTCCAGTGATGGATATCATGAGCGGACTAAATATTAATAATTGATCTCCCTCTCTCTACACCAATTACGTAGATGTTCTAGTTATTTCGGTAAGACGTTAGAGTTAATGACGACTAATGTAATTGTTAACCACTTGTTTCGATATTTATGAAATTCACGTTATGATACTATCCATTCCTTCTTATATTTAAATGAAAGTAATAACGTCACGAACATAAATGTCACAATTGAATAGTAATGTTCTAGAAACAAGGGACTAGATAAAAATATATTCATATCACCTATGGAATCTGAATAATTTTTCAGTCTTTAAATAAACATTGTACATATGTAAATATTAATAATTATTTCAAAACTGACATATTTAGCAAAATGTAAAAGTACATATTGAAAAATATTATGAAATGATATATATTCTAAATGTACATGACTGACACTTAATTGAAATACTTCGTTGAAGAATTTTTATTTGATTATTTCTATAACGAATGTACATAGCATATATAAAACAATTTTATAATTTTATTATAATTTCTATCTACCAAATATAAAATTGGAATAGATTTAAAGAGCACTAAAATGTAAGAGAACACATTTAAAATCTGTACAGGAAAGGTAAAAAATATAAATATATTTTGAGATGTTCCTATTTCCAGATAATGAAGTTTCGATTAATTTCTCTTATCCCTTCTTTACAAGACAAATAAATGAAAGAAAGTTATTCTTTATCATACTTGATCATTTTGTGCATAAATATGTATTTTATTTTGTTATTCATAAAAAAGAGTAAACTACGTACACTATGTCTAGTACTTATAATTCAATTTTCCGTTAACGACGGATGATCGTTTTTTGCCTTTTCACTACAGAGATGTTTCTCAATATACGTTTGAAAAAGGGTGTCGATTTGTGTATGATATACAGTAACAATTATGTTTGAAGTCAATCATAATACACACACACTTACACACATATACATTAAAATAGTTGATTATGAAATAAATGTTGTAAATTTTATGAATATAAATGAGATTATTTTATTTTTCCTACGATGTTATGAATAAGTTGATATTATATTTAATATAATTCAATATAACCATTTAGGTATATTGAGTTTGAATTGGATAACAAATCATTAGTTGTAATAAATATATTTAACAAACATTTAGGTCTTACGATACAAATCGAGTCGACAAGACAAGTCTACGAAACCATCACAATAATCCTTTCTTATATAATTTTTATTAAGTCAAGTAAAATAAATCAACTTTTTCAAGAGATAAAAAAGTCAATGTCCTATTCTCAAGCTCTCGCATAAAAATAAATAGGGTTCCGTTATCTTTTCATAAAGAATCGAGAATGACTATACTATTTTTCAAGATAAGGGATAGGTTTTATGGACAAGAGCGAGGTTCTTTGCCTATAAATATTTCCAAAGAACACATTTAAGCATATTAGTTTAGCTATTACTTATTTAATTGCTAACGAAAAAAACTTCATTACCAACGCTAGTGTGTGGGCTGATTACTAATGGTCAATTCAGCACGGCTCAGAAAAATTCTCAAGGGTATGTAGATGAAATTAAGATTGATATTGTAGAAATGTAACTGTTGATTTTTATGGTTTCTACTTATATATTCAATACCTACTATATTTCATCCATTCTCGGAAACATGGAGTAGTATTGATTTATATTTGATTCTCATAAGTTTTCATTTACTTGTCAGAGGATTTCACAGTTTATTGAGTATTGGATAATTTGTATCAATTTTTAAATTCCTCATAAGTGATTCTTATTATTCATTATAAGATGTACTAATATTGAATTGTAGAGTTTATTCTTAGTTTAATATTTAGTTTAATGTATCATGCGGTTAAAAACTTGAGCAGTAACATGAATTTTCATTTTTCTTAAATTTATTAGTACCCAATGAACAATTGAAATATTTTGTACACATTTAATAACATAATATGGAAATAGGATATTTTTTGCATACTCTTATCGCTCGATTGTAGATTGAAATTTTTATTAATAAAATATTCTCTATATAGGATATTGGATTATTGGTTTATTTTTATTACTATTTTACTTTATTACTAATTTCAATTTTACGATATTGTTTTATAGTTACAGTTCAGAGCTCGTTAAAAATAGTCCATTAATTATGATTACTACGGATGAATTATAAATGAACTGAATTAAAGGTAAGATACATTTTTTTTCAATTTTAATTTTACTTTTTCCATTTCATTTTAGAAAATATACATTATGATTTCAAATATAATTTTTCAAATATCCTCCAAATGACTGCTTTTACATAAAGTAATTTCGAAAGCAGGTCGAAGTTTAAGATTTTATTTCAGAAGTTTCATAGCAGCACTTTGCATGCATAATGCCCAAGATCGATTATTTTAATTAAGTTGAATGTCCGTAATTGCACTCTAATCAATATCAGTAATAACCCGTCACGTAATTGTAGTTTACGTATAGCTAGTGGATAGAATGTTACATGCAATGAATAAATAAATTCATTATGAATAAAGGATGGACTTTTATCAGTCAAACAACTGATCATGAAATTTCAGCTAACTATGAATTTTGTTGACATTTTTATTTTGTTGGAAACCATTCCATACTTCAGCAGTAATTATAGTGATTAATCCATTTTACTTATATTTTACGCCAGTTGTTAAAAAATATATCGTAGTTTTGATATTTTTTATAGTATTGTGGATTTTGTTCAATGCTTACGATTATAAAAAATATAAAAATATCGTTATCTATTATTTTTCTAAGAAATTTTTACAAAGGTAATGAATTTCTTGCAGTTATGAAAGCAAGTTAAATCATAAAAAAAATAATTACAAATTGAAAAAGATATAACACATTACAGTAATATATTTTTAGATAAAATTATTAAGCAATCTTGTCCATTCTATCAATTAATTTTTTAATATAATCACATATTTGCAACTATTCATCTTTCATATTTATCTATTTGTGGATAGTTAGTCGTAATTCAGAAAAATACTGCACAAATATACCCTTCCAGAAGCAGAAAAAATCTATAATGTCAATACGTAACATTCGTCAGCATTTTTCACTCTCATATCTATACATTGGCACTATGGCGCACGTTGTGGATTTCTCGTAAAAGCCTTGGATGTGTCCAAGGATGTTTCTCGAGGGAGAGAGGGAAAGAGAGAGCTGCACTTTCAGAAATACGGTTCTCGCCTACTGCTGTCGCTACCGCTGCTCGTGTAAATAAGAACGTTGTGCTAAATCAAAGGCAGTGGTAGCGCTCTCGACGTAAAAGAGCTACGTGCACCCCCGGTAAAGACTAAAGAGAAAAAGATAGAGGCGGCGTGCGCAGCTCCGCCAGAGTGCAAGGATAATTTTGAGCAAGAGGCACACAGCAGCGAGGGAAAGGAGCGAGGCAAAGACCGTAAGTTGAGTAAAGAGGAAACGACGAATGGCATAATAAGCCTTTCGAGGGTGTGCGTTTTTGTTGAATCGCGCTCGCGTTCACTCGCGCCGTTTAACTCTCGACACTCTTGGTCGCACTCTTGCTCGCATTCGGTAGAGCGACATCAATTTTTTATGTATTATTTTTAATTGCTCGTTTGTGTTCATTCTAGGTTATTATATTACATTATTCATCTTATTGAAATTTATAAAGAAAATTTAACTCATCCATATATTCACGTGAAACTTGATAAGTTATCGTTTTACGATTATTAAATTTACTCATAATCTGTTTTTGCAAACACACAGGTATTAGAATTCTTTACAACTTTATCAATATGCGTACACAAACCGCTACAATATCAAAGATACAATTACACATGAGATATAATTCATAGCGAATAATCATCATATGATGATCGTGTAATACGCCTGACTATACGTTGACTCTGACTACTCATATTACTTTAACAATGAAGCCATGCCTTCGCACGAATATCCGTCAGTTTAAATTTCGATACATTCCATTATAAATACATAGGTATCCAGGAATATGTCGCATATTTCATATAAAGCAAGAATGCGATAGATAGATATTCAGGAACTTTTTGCAATAGCCTGAATACAGGTCGCCGTTTTTTTCAATCTCGCCCTCACACCTGCGCTCGGCGCCACGTTCCGTCTTTTTGTGGCTGCTTGTTCGACTATGCGCTTATATCTTCGTCCTTCTCTTCTCCCTTCATTCTTCTTCCCTGTGGTTTTTTTCATACTGCAGTCACGCAAACTCTCGTTTTTACGACTTTTAAACCACCTTTATCCACGTGCTTCCTTCCTTCTTTTGCAGTCCCTAACTTATCTTGCACAAGTTTTTCCCTTTGTTTTATTTCTTTTCATTTTTCTTTTCTTTTTTTACTTTTTCGATATATCTTCGCACTTACTTCTTTAATATATTTTTTTCTTTTTGTTATTTCTACATACCTTTTGTAAGTTTCCTCGTTTGTATTCTGGTACTAGTTTGAAAAAAGTTAAAAAAGACAGTCATTTCATATCTGCTTATGAATAATAATAATCAATATTATTATTTCTGTTGAATTGTTTGATAATAGAAAAGAAAAATTTAATTCAAAATATTCTACTAAATATTTTTTAGCATGATATATATACAACAGAATATTTTTATAAATGGATCTTCAATTTTTAAAATAAAATAAAATTTTTAGAGAACTTATAGAGCACACAAGAAATCATGAGTTAATTTTATTTTGGAAATAATATATTTAATATGTAGTTTTTTATTCAAAAATTTGGAGATCGTGTCATATAAATATTATTAATATTTGTTATATATCAGATTAAAATGATTTAGTGATATATTTTCTGATTCGTTCGCACAAAAATATATATTTGATCCTACTGATGCTAGAAATAGCGTGCAACTCTCAGTAGAGATAAAAGTCATAGCACATATTTGCCGCCCTCGCCTTTGACTGAAGTTCATTCTCACGTGATAGAAGCTGGTTCTTTCCTTTTCTCTTCCAACGAACAGTCTATTCCTCTTTATTATTGATGGTTACCAACCGATTCTTAAAAAATGTTCAATATTTACCAACTGATTATTTCTAAAATCAATTAATATTGAAAATTGTAGACTACGTCTTCAAATAGTTTTCTTCAATTAAAAGTATTTTCCAAGAAAAAAAGGGTGCTTGCATAAATCTGTTTTTATTACGTGTTGTACTTATTTCATAAACGTTTATTAGCGTATGAATTTCAATCAAGCGCACGCTATGATATCGATGCCATTTTTCGTTTCATATCCTCACACTAATATATTGCCTTCGTGTCCTGATTAATTATTATTTATTTCCATGTGCTGTAGTATGTTACTAGAGAAAAATTTGATTTAACTACTTTTCCAAAATTTCCCGTAGATTTCATGAATTTAAGCTTTTCAAGAAAAAAAGTCTGACAAGGAATTACATAAAAAAATAGATGAGTATCACATCGTCAACCTGTCAAGTGCTTATTTAAGGAAACTTTTTTCATCGAACTCTTTCATTTCATTTTATTCGGCGGTCTTTCTTTCGTTTTTTTTTCTTCTGGCCCCCAACCTTTCGGTATTATATGGCCGCTAGCTGAGTGTTAGCCCACACCACATCGACCCTCTTCTACTCGTTCTCTAATGCCAGCAGTTTCTCGCGCCCGTGCTACTTTTCTTGAGCGAGAGTTTTCCCGAGCTGCTGCAGGCCCATAGCCACTTTCCTTTCCGCAAACTCTCTAGTACTCGAGTACTTACTTATCAACTGGCATTTGCACTGCACTTGGAGAATTTTGCAACGACAAAACGATTGTTTTTTTTCTAATATGAATAAAATAAGCTTTGAATTTTGCAGTCTTTATGGATAATCGTGTCTGTATAATCAAATGTCAACTATCTATCGGATCTGATACAGACATCAATCACTTTGTTGATGATATAATACGTTCCAAAAGCTAGTACTGTTGCGATAAATTTACTAAAAATAAAATGTAATAAACATCGACTTCATTAATCGTAAAGTATATCTCCATTTATAGGTAGTATAATAAAAACAAACAGAGTAAGAACAATTGATTAACGTGTCATTACAAAACTTGAACGTTTTTCTTGGTAAAATATCGCATTATTATTTATAATTTTTATTCTATTATAAAAATCCAATAATGAAATCTATACCCACGAAGCAACAACTTAAACACATAACTACGACCAACAACAAGAAAAAACACGAGGGGGAAGTAACTAATGGTCCACTAATGGATTTAAATAGTAACGTCGCGGAAGTAAACGGGTGGAAAAAAAACCCGGAGCTACGATAAAAATAAGAATCGAAAATGGTGCTGCACAGTAGTGCACTCGAGGGTTTCAACCTTAGCGAGCTACAGAAAAAAGGAGAGGATTTAAATTGAGAAACGGCGAAATAGAATCCACTGAAAGTATCTGAAAACGTAAATGCAAGACTTAAAAATAGCAAGAAACGTTCGATATTTCTAAGGGAGACGGTTCCAATCTGGAATTTCGTATGGCGAAACGTGTTAAGTTTTTAGAGTAATTATACATTGTATAATTAAGAAATAACAATATTAAATTTTATTCAATATAAAAAGTAAATTTGTTGAAAGTAAGAAAATTAATGGCGTAAACGTGAGTCGCATTGGAAGACAAAGCGAAGCGGACATACAGGAAACAAAAAAATAAAAAGAAAGAAAAAAATTGGCTACCACTCAATCAAGCTTCGTGTTTTTCAATGGCGCGTGCCGCCACGCGCAGTTTAGCGCGAAAATCACCGACAGCAAGGGAAAGAGAAACAGTGTGCGCACTCGCGCTTGGCTTATCCGCCCCGTCGTCGTGGTCTTAGAGTTAATTTTGTCTGGAACGAACAGCTCGTTTCCGACGGCTGCGAGTGCAGCAGGAGCGCGCTCTCTCGCGTCACCGGAGGTTGCGTCGCAACTTCTCTTTTCTCCGCGCGACCTAACCTTTCTTCACAAGCAATCAGGCATCGAGCTAAAGTTACTTTCGAACAACTTCTAAGTAAACTTCGGCGAAACTTTAAGCGCTCCGACCCGACCCCGTTCAAATGAATATAAGTACATCGCTTTAAAGGCCTCTCAGTGATCCTAGAAACCTTTGCTTCCTTTTCACTGTTTATGGGTATAATAACTTGCAACTCGATCCTGTTTTCTTTCTTTTTAAAAGGCGTAAACTGCGTGTAAACTTTCGCTGACTAATAATACGGTAGAGCTAATCAAATAAATTCCCACAGATTGTTTAACGTTGGCAAGAAAAAGAGCATAAGGTTTCTTAAAAGAGGCACTCACTCACGAAAATGGCTAAAAGGTCATATGATGAGTCACTTGGGAACTGTTTAAGAAGAGGTTTCTTAGGATGGGAGAGGTATTAGTAAAGACTGCACAGCAATACTCGCCATTTTAAACTTTGAAAAAGGAACGTGAACAGATGGACAGATAAGCAAGAGACAAAAAGGAGGTGAATGAAAAAGGCAAAGAAGATAGAGTTGAGCGTGGTAGCTCTTTCCTTCTCTCTCTCTCTTTCTCTTTTCCGTGCCTTTTAAAAGATCGCTTATCAAAGTTGGTAATCTTTATACTCTTTCGACTCGCCACTCGTGGACCTTGTCTGTCTTTTTTCCTGCTTGCTTCTGTGCAACTTCCCTACCGCGGATTGACGTTCTTTGTGACATCGTCTTCATGCAACTCTATACTGACGTTTCTTCAAAGGTTGCGTTTTTATTTCTCTCTCTCTCTCTCTCTCTCTCTCTCTCTCTTTATCTTAAATCTACGTATACTTGATGCGTCTCTTTTAAAATAAAAAGAGTAGAAAGAAACTAATTAAGCTTCCCTAGTCTCCAAATTCTATTAAGTAAATTGGAAACATAATTATTATACTATCACATTATACAAAAAATTATCTTTTATTATAATCCACATTGCTTTTATTGCAAAGCGCATAAAAAATATAGGGTCGTTAGACACGTTTCGTAATATGTTACTGAGTAATTGTCATGTAAATTTCTAACATAGTTCCTAGCATGTGCCTCGCATCTCTTAGCTGCTTTCTGTGCTATTAGGAAGTTGTACTCATCCCACCTTTCTGAAGAATTATGTTTAAAGAAGAATCTGAATGATTGATTTGATTATTTAGTAACAATTTTCATTCTATCTGAAAATTATCCGACATTGCAATGTACTTGCAGAGAAAATTTTTATAACAATACTTCGATAAAGATAATACCATTTCTTGCTTTTCTAAAACTTTGACAAATTATGAATTCAAAAATATCAAAATTTGTAATAGCTTTTATAAATATGTTATATCAAAGTTGATAAGCACATTAGCAGTTTCCCTAATTCATAAATCCAATTATTTTTTAAGTTCTAATCAGCTGCAAATGTTTCGTTTTCACTAGCATAAATCTGATAGGAGCTTCGTTATACTTATAAGCTTTTTAGTTTAGTATTTGATAAGACTATTTAACCATTAAAAATATATTTCAATTCATCATACATGAAAAAAGGTCTAAAATTTAAGTTACTGTGTCACTTACTATATTATTTTCTTGCTAATTTCTCTCCTCTCCCGACTTTTCACGTTGTAGTTACGGAAACGTGAAACCCCTCTTTCAGGACTCTTAAACCTTTATCCTCAGGCTTTCTCTTCTTTTTCCGATTCATCTTGTAAGTTTTCTCATTGTTTCGTTTTTTCTTCTTACATTTTACGATATCTCTTGGTGTTTTTTTCTCGGCTTTGCTTCTGGATTCGTCTGCAAGACCTTTCCTTCCGGCTGCTTACTTTAGTTTTAACCTCACGACGACCTTTTGTGTCTTAGTTTCATTCCGTGTCTGGACTTTTATCCTTTTACTTTTTCACATGAAAATGTTAAAAAATATGTGTATGAAAATTTATTGCACCCTAGAGTCTGCGAGACTTGAGTTATCAACTATAATTTAACATGTAATTTATTCTTAAAATTGTATTAAATTTTCTCAGATTTCGTGTTACAATAGTTAATATGATTATTCACTATACTTTATATAACGCATATAAAATCTCAATGTAATCAACCACATGGATCCTCAAGCGATAAAGATCATAAAACAAAAACATTCAAATATCCTTCTCAATATCATAAAATTATTACTCGTACCACGTAATCTCTATTATAACCCTAAATGGAATATATATGTTTTGACTAATAAATTCAAAGATTATTATTCAACACCTTTTAGAATCATGCTTACGATAAAAAGCAAATATTATGGATTGCTATAGAACTCGTGGATTATTAGCTTTAGGATTATTGATGGACGTATCACAGTGATATCTGTAGCTGCATGCGTACAAAATAAAAAATTCTGGTAGTCGTCTCTCAGCAATTTTTCTACGTAAATACTAATGCATAAAAAGAATAAAATTATCAGTTGTAAAACGATATATTTTGTTTTGAGTTATTGAGATTTTTGGGTTGTTTTCTATGTATAGCCACGTAAAGTCTACATTTTAATGATGGATGGTTCTGAAATCTGACAATATATTTTTCATATTCAAAATATGATTATTGCATTCTATTGGAAGAATTTAATAGTAAATAAAAATAGAGTAATGAATTAATAAGGTACACTATTAAAAAACTTATGTATGGATCATACATTGCTTAATGAGATCATTGATTTATTCAAGTAGCGCTGTTAGATAAAAAGCGACTCTGTATCTCTATGTATCAATTATTAATACTGCCAGAAATAAAGTAAAGGTTTAATAATATCAGGGTCTCGGGGTCAGTTCTCAACCAAGTAGTATTTTTTATGCATTAATTATTTTTTATTGTACTAAGATGTAGACAACTGATATTTTTATATGAATGAATGTTAATACTTTTTGAATATTTTTCAAACAACGTTACATCCGGTTTCAAGTGAATTTTATTTCTGATGAAAAAAGTTATTGTTCATTCCAATAACGTTGAAAAATGGTGTTATTTATAACGTTGCAACATAACGTTTTTTTTTTTTTTTCAACAAAGTGCTTTATTAGATGCTTAATGAGTACTGATTAAATGAAATTAATCATCGTGAAAGGACACTATTTAAAATAATATTTTATCTTACATTTTATTTTTTTGAACAACAAGGAAAAAAGTATGAAATTCGAAAAATTTTCATAAATCGCAGAGAAAAAATTGTTAGATATAAACTGGATCGTGACAATTTAAATACAAAGGAATATATTTGTTCATATTTACTGCATAAAAATGTATCAAATCTCGCACAAATGTTGCAAATCGATACGACCTAAGTAGCCAATTATTTGGTCTACAAAAAGAAAACTGGCATTGTAATTCATATGAATTAAATCACAAAGAGCTGAAGCAGCTCGTTTCTTTAGTTGTATCATCTTGACTGCACGTTCAAAACTCTTGAATCTTACAACCGTATGGCCAGTAGAATTCTTCATTCTTACAAATGGACCTTATTATCGAGATAATATTTGAATCTCGGGCATACTGTTGGATTTTCGTATCACTGCTAATCAACAATTGGTAAAACGTTAATGAATCGTTAATCTTAACTGTCTCTAATTTAGTCAGTTGTTGTCGACAGATCTTGAAAAAATTGCTGGTTATTGGATGGGAATTAATTATTCGAGCGTTGTGCTCGCTAATGATCGCCATCCCTTGTTTCTCCAGTAATGCTAAATGTGATATAACAGACTCAAGAAGGACAAGCAAACGATACTCCAACGCTGTTTCGAAAATATCCTCAAATCCAGGAGGTTGTAGTTGCGGGTCTGCTCCATGCTTGAGAAGCAATTCAACCACATCTTGATACCTTGTCCCATCCTCAACCGATATATATTTCGCTGATGAAAAAGCAGCTGATAACGGTGTTCTGGAATAAAAATTTAGAGTGTTCGGTTTTGCCCCGTTATTCAATAAAAATTCCACTGTATATGGAAGTCCAGCTGATGCGGCGTAATTCAAAGGAGTTTCTCCGTCATTATTCAGTGCATCCACCTCAAATTTCTTACCATACAATTCATCAATGACACCGTCATTATCGTTTCTCGCCAAATAATGTATTGGGCACTGACCAATTTCATCTCTATCATACAGATCAATATTGGATTGAAGTATCCTTCTTACTATTTCTTTATTACCATAAATATATGCGTAGTTGTAGTAGCAGTTCGTTTCCAGCGGCACATCTTGGTCTACTATCATTTTGATAATTTTCAACACCTTCTATGAGAACAAGCGCTACAACGGACGTTCGAATATATAAAAATAGTAAGTGAGAAAAATATACAACGGCTACTTGGTGTTCTTTGTAGTAGCTTTGTTTGATTTTTATAGCTTGTGGATCAATCACAGTGCAAAATAGATTGCGGCCATCATCCGTAAATAAAATGTTGGCAACCGATACGCGATTGTTCAAGAATTTATTTAGAACTCTGAACAGCCTGTAAGCAATAGTGTTCGGTGCCTGCAGAAACAAACGAGAACCGTGTTTTGTTTCAATCAGTAACTTCGTTATATTAATTAAACCAGAGAATTTAGGTTTGAATTGTTGAAAATTCTTTGCTCTTTTAGCCAGCGAGTAACATGTAAGATACTATAGCTGCAAAAGTAAAACGTGTTGAAACTAAATACTTGATTTATTTCAAAGTAATTATACTGTAATTCAGAATTTTATTTGATTGTTCATTTTAACTTGAACGAAAACGTTTTTAAACTCACTTCGGCTATATTGCAACGAAGAAAAATTTCCCAGGTGCGTATGTAATTTTTAATATAATTTTGTTTATAGATAAACGTAATTCTGAAATTGAATAGCACTTTTCACTTAGAGGTATTTACTTTCTGATTGTGCAAAATACTCATTAATAAAAGTACACAGTACACAGGTCGTTGAGGGACATGGATCAGACCACTTTGGACCTCCTAAAGTGAATGCCACGACGAGGCCGACAAGAGAGGCATGAGCTGCATCGAAATCGTATCACTGATGGAGGGGGTATAATTATACTATCTATTGATAGAAATTATTTATATAAAATAATATCTGTTTATAGATCATGTTCGCTTTAAACTGAATCCCTCACTGAATTTTCGCTTCTACGATAGATAAATACTAACAATCAAAATTTCTCTTTATCATAGTGTAAAAGTCGATACAACGTAGTTAATGTATTCGCGTTCGAATTTAATAATTTCGATCAAAAATGATGAAAATATAATTATAGTAAATTTAATTTCACAATAATCTTTTAAACATTAATTAATAAAGAAAATCAAATACAAAATAATAATCTACATTTAGGAAAATTCAGCAAAATAGTATCTTTTTCAACTATTAATTATGACAGCTAGTTCATTATTCATGGTAATACCTTGACGAAAAAGTTATATATATATACTCAAAAAAGAAGTTGAGGAGAAAAGCGGGTTAAAAGAGAGAAAGAGAACGAAAACGTGCGATGTACGACATTGTACAAGTATAAGTACAGAAAAAATTTTAAATTATTATACACATTATCTCTCTAGCTCTGCTCTTCTCTTCTCATAATGCTGGTTGTCACTTTTTTTATATTCTTATGAACTGACCTACTTACCTTCAACCTACTGTTATGCGTTCATTAGTTTTTTTTAATTTATAGACGTCTTTTGTAGTTTCGTTGTGATTCAATTTTCATTAATTTTCTATCTGACTATGAGTAAAAACTGATTTTTTATTTCCATAATATGTCAAAATAATTGCAGTCTAATAATTTTAGTAAGAACCATATTAACAAAGCGCAAGTAGCAAAGAAAATAATTAAAAAAACAAAAGGCTGGTCACTCGCCACAAGAAACAAACAATCAGTGTACAATTTGCTTACTCGGTACACACTTGTCAAACGGACGGGGCAAGCGAGCGCGTGACGGTTCGCCTTGAGAGGTGAGATAGGTCGAGTGTAGCCGTTGCTAACTGTGCGCTCTGGATTCTATTTTGCTTATCAAGCTAGATAGCTGCGCTAACTGCTTGCAGCGTTGACGACGACGACGAAGGTGGGAGCGAGTGTTTGATGTACGGCGAACCAATATGCTTCTGCAGCTCTGACAAGATGTCATGCGCATTGCAGCTGATGACGTGCGCATCAGCATACGGTCGCGACGCGTATCTCCCGGCGAGTACGTAGCGAATGTATATTTAATATAGATATAGATATCCTTCAACTGGAATACATATAGATGTTGCAAAATGCCACAACGAATGACACGCGAAGAGTAAATTTCTAAGCATTAATTCTAAGCCATGGCAGTAAAATAGGCTATGTAGGCGGAATCGACATTTTAGGAATTATGTAAGTTTCAAGTCAAGGAATTAATGCGTTGCGCATACAATTGCTCTATTGACTGTGTAAGCCACACTTGTGTAGGAAATTTTGACTACACGCAGTGCTTTAGGAATAACTTAACTTATTTTATTATGTGAAAAGTGTCATTCTAAATAATATTCGCAAATCTACAGTTCACGACAACAATTTTTATGGTATTATTTTTAATTTCCAGTTCAGATCTTAGCAAAAGGTAAAAAAATTATACATTCTGCAAGAGAGAGAGAGAGAGACGTATCTATAAGGAGAGCATGACTCTGTTAGCGATAACGTGTCAGTGGTGTATTCACTGACGAAGATCCTGAATATTTGAACGTACGATCAGCCACATCGAAGCATTTGAAATTTCAAAGTATTACTTCTCTTCCATCGCCGAGCTGTCGATTCTTGTCGTCTTTGTCTTCTCAAGCCGGCCGAGAGTGACAAGGGTAAGGTAGCAAATGAAAATTGATAGTAGCAAAACAGTGCTTTTCTCTTTCAAGCAGAGAATTTTATATCGTATGAAAATTGTAAAGAATACGAATTGAATGGAAAGATAAAAGTTAATTATCAAAATAATTTCAAACTATTATCTAGGTATAAGCTATTTATCAAACAGGTGATGAGTATTATTTGATATACTGACTAAAAATGCATTTTACTACTCACAGTTACTTCTAAGTGCATATTTGATACCTTACACGTAAAAAGTACTATATAGATATAAAAACAATATATTTTTACTTTATTTTATTAAAAGCAATTAGTTATTTTGAATCATGAATATTAATCTCAAAATAATCATCAGTTATCGTTCATTTTCAGACAAAGTATTCATATCTATCTTTATATTACTCGTAAAGCGAAATTCACAAAATAAAATAACTCAAAGTATCTTCGATTATCCACCATTCTATTTCGATTCTAGAAAACAATCGAGGAAGTTTAGGGCATTAAAAATTTTGTTATCATATGCTTATTTCAATCGTACTTATACTTGCTCCTTCTTCATTATAAAACCAAAATAATTATTCATTTTCTTCTTTTCGAAATAACAAACGATAAATAATGTCAAATAAATATTTAGATAGATGTTCCTTATTAATCATATATAAATGAATATTGCGCGTTTAAGGAAGTATGTTAACACAGAAACAAATACAAAAAAGGCAAATTCTACTTTAATACTCAAGGTATAAAAACAAGATATAAATAAAACTGTAGCTGCAGCCACGCAAATGCGCTTTTTAGTATCAATCGGACATTTTTTCAATAGACATAAAGTACACATGTCAGGAAAGTAAATCATGTGATTTACATGGTGGAAAGAAAACATGAATGTCACAAAAGTGTACAAATGCCATCGACGATAAATTGATTGTCGTCGCTACAGAACAGTGAGTTGTGTTAAAAATACTAATAGGCCTTTTGTATTATACCCGTGTATATTGCATTTCTACATATGCAAATATGCGCGCGTCTTGAGCATGAATCGATTGATACGCTCGGAGTTCCTCAAATATATCTTCACATGCGACGCGCATTCGGTATTATATGGCGCCTCGGTAGTTTATTACGTATGCGCATTATATTTGGCGGGCCCGTCGTGCTCTGGGACTAACGCTCGCAAGTGCGATAATCCGATATCAGAAAAAGACCAATGATATGTGGTATGAAGTTCAGTAATGGAAACACATTTTGAATGATAAAAATTGAATAATGAAAAGAGTTTTTTCAAGTGAAAAAAATAAAGTATTTTTGAATTTATCATTGCTGAAATTTAGTAGTACCCGGTATTATGATTCGACTCCATTAAATGAGTTCAAAAATATATCACATATTTATAAATCAAGTTGAATTGGAATAATAATGACTACAAGTAGTTTTAATAGTCAACTTACACATATTATTTACTCATACGTCATTTCAAAATAAAGTTGAAAATTACTAAAGTTTTTAATTAATATACAACGAAAAGCATATTTCTTTTGTTTTTTCAATTTTCACTCTTGCTGTCATGTCTGAAGCATTGTAAAAGTTTTTTATGGATATTAATTAAACTTTCAATATTAACTTTTTATATAAATTACATTTTTATGAGAGAGAACTTCTTACAAGCATTTGATACCTGTACGAGCTCATTATAAATCTATAGACATTTTGAGTGAGTATCGCTCTTAAACTTTTTTGTAACAAACAATGTATTAAAAGTCCGTTTTTAAGTTGTAACGCTTGTGTAAAGTGTTTCAACTAACGTTTGACACTCTTCCGGTTGAAACATGATCCGTAGAATGCCATAACTACATTTTTCTTTCAAAACTCTCGGGACTCTTTTCACGTTCTTGTGCTCCGAGTCATGCAGGATTAAAGTGACGGGAGAACGAATACTCCCTTTCTCTTACTCTCCCGAGGAACTCCCTTCTTTGTCAGCACTCTGAATTATTTGAAAAGACAAAGTGCTAAACTTTTGAAATCGCTAGTTTTTCGGGGTATTAGATTTTACAGACATACAAACAAGTATTTTTATCGTAAGTTGACAAAAAATAATGCTTTTGTGTCTGCTATTCTAATAACCCAGATGTATTCGTTTATATAATTAAAATGATCATTAGCTTGAGTCATCGATCGTTCGATTCATATCTTCAATTCAACTGGAAGCAGTCAGTTTTATTCCTTAATAAACAGCACATTGATACGATACGAAATATTGGTTCAATTAAACTTGTGATTAAGTTTTGGCGGTTTAAAAGAGTAGATCATTTTCACTTGTCTACAGTAATTGAATATCGTCTTTGCATGCACAAAAATTGCTTACTTATTTAGAGGTTTTTTATTAATTACTTTTTTTTTATTTTTTGCTATAAC